TATATTTTTTAAATATCCATGTAATTAATTATCTAAATAATATATTTAATTAAATATATTGTAACTTTCGGATTTGTGTGAAAAAATGTGAAAACCGTAATTGCAGCCTGCTGACTTTCAAATGTTGACTTGTCAGAAAATTCTTTCTGGGTAATTGGACAACCAAACGAACCCTAATATTAATGATTCTTGAGGCAAAAGGTACCCGTTTATCTTTTTAACTTTTTGGATTTGAGGCGTTTTATTCTTTATATTATAATATATAATTTTTTTATCTTTCATGTTTTTGAATTTAGAAATATAAGGTAAAATTTAACGGTAAAAAATCACATGTGACACATGTATGTTAATCTCCGTTATACATTGATGTGTCAATATCAACTCAAGATTTTTTTACATGTTGGTAAGTCCAGCTTGAACTTTATGATAATAACATAAAAAAATAATAATATGAAAAAATAATCTTTCTTTTTTTTGTTTTCCTTCTCCTTTCCTTTTTCTTTCCCTTGGACCCCAACATAATTCTTTGCTGAGAGAAGCCCTCCATGGAACCCACGCCAAAACCCAGGCGTTGCAGTTTCTGTTGGGATAGTAATCTAACTAGCGCATAAACAAAATAAAGGCCCTTAAGGCCCAAATACAAAGGAGCACGCCCATGAGTCACAATGGAGCTCATATACACTCAAATGGATCCAAAGGGACCAATAAAAGTGCAACATGTGTAAAGCACTTCCAAAAGACCTATAAATACTCCTGCACCCCTCAAAGGTGAGGACTTTTCCAAGAGCTCTTCTCTCTATATTATATTTCTCTCTTTAAAGAGAGCCCCAAGTATAGAATATTGCTAACTTGGGCATCGGAGTATCTACCCCGAGGGACAACCCTCGGGTCTGTTTTGCAGGTCCCTATGCTGGTCAACTTGTGGTCAACTAGATCTTGTGAAGCTGCCCAAACATTTGGCGCCGTCTGTGGGAACTCGAACAAAAAGCTTTATTTCTATGTTGATCCGGTTGATCGGAGAGAGGAGAAGATGTGTGAAAGGCACGTGGCTTATTCTCTTGAGTTGCAGAATCCAAGAGATGAGTCTCTGACCAGGCAGCTTGCCAGTATGAAAATCTCTACAAGTTGTAAAATCCCTACTGCAGCGCGAGTTGCAAAGTTTGCAAAAGCATGACGAGCTGACAAAGCTCCAACAAAGCATGATGAGTTGGAAAAACTCCAACAGAGATTGACGAGCTGACAAAGCTCCAACAGAGAATGACGAGCTGAAAAAGCTCCAACAGAGAATGATGAGCTGAAAAAGCTCCAACAGAGATTGATGAGCTGACAAAGCTCCAACAAAGAATGACGAGCTAACAAAGCTCCAACAGAGCATGACGAGCTGAAAAAGCTCCAACAAAGCATGACGAGCTGAAAAAGCTCCAACAAAGCATGACGAGCTGAAAAAGCTCCAACAAAGCATGACGAGCTGAAAAAGCTCCAACAGAGCATGACGAGCTGAAAAAGCTCCAACAGAGCATGACGAGCTGACAAAGCTCCAACAAAGCATGACGAGCTGACAAAGCTCCAACATAGAATGATGAGTCCACAGAACTCCAATGAAGAATGATGAGCTCACAAAGCTCCCTATACACTATCAAAAAGTCAGAAGCTCCTCTGAATAAATTCAGACAAGAAGGGGGAGAAATAAGAGGAGTTCTACATTCTACATTCTACATCAAAGTTTGAAGAACAAGGGCGTGAATAATTTGAGCTTGCCCCAAGACCTCGTCAATAGATGAGCAGGGCCGAGCAAGATCCAAATCTCCATTTGGTGAGCTCTTACATTAGTGTTTTCCTTGAGCTTGCCCCAAGACCTCGTCAATAAATGAGTAGGCCGAGAAAGATCCAAATCTCCATTTGGTGAGCTCCTACATCATAGTTTTATCTACCACCCCAAGACCTCGTCAACAGATGAGCAGGGCTGAGCAAGATCCAAATCTCCATTTGGTGAGCTCTTACATCAGTGTTTTCCTTGGTCTTGCCCCAAGACCTTGTCAATAGATGACCAGGGCCGAGCAAGATCCAAATCTCCATTTGGTGAGCTCTTACATCATAGTTTTATCTACTGCCCAAAGACCTCGTTAATAGATGAGCAAGGCTGAGCAAGATCCAAATCTCCATTTGGTGAGCTTTTACATCAGAGTTTTATCTACCACTTGAAGGCCCCATTAATAAATGAGCAGGGTTGTGCAAGAGCCAAATCTCCACTCGAGTTAGGCAAGATCCAAATCTTTATTTGGTGAGCCTTTCAAAAAGAATTATGAGTTGAGACCCTGCATGATGAGCTGACAAGCTCCAACAAAGCATGACGAGCTGGCAGAGCTCCAACAGAGAATGACGAGCTGACGAAGCTCCAACAAAGCATGATGGGCTGACAAAGCTCCAATAGAGACTGATGAGCTCACAAAGCTCCGATGAAGAAAGACAAGCTGAAAGAGCTCCAACAAAGCATGACGAGCTGGCAGAGCTCCAACAGAGAATGATGAGCTGACAGAGCTCCAACAAAGAATGACGAGCTGACAGAGTTTCGATGAAGACTAATGAGCTCACAAATCTCCGATGAGGAAAGATGAGCTGAAAAAGCTCCAACAAAGCATGACGAGCTCGTAGAGCTCCGATGAAGAATGACGAGCTGAAAGAGCTCTAATGAAAAACGACGAGCTCGCAAGCTCTAATGAAGAATGATGAGCTAAGAGAGCTTTGATGCAATGAAGAGTGATGAACTCATAAAGCTCCAATAAAGAATGATGAGTTGACAGAGCTCTAACAAAGAATTACAAGCTCACACAACTCCAACAAAGAATTACGAGTTCACACAGCTCCAGCAAAGAGTTATGAGTTGACATAGTGCAAACAAAGATTTACGAGCTCGCAAAGCTCCGATGAAGAATGATGAGCTCACAAAGCTCCGATGAAGAATGACGAGTTAAAAGAGCTCTAATGAAGAACGACGAGCTCGCAAGCTCTAATGAAGAATGATGAGTTGAGAGAGCTTTGATGAAGAACGACGAGCTCATAAAGCTCCAATGAAGAGTGACGAGCTTATAAGGCTCCAATAAAGAATTACGAGTTGACATAGCTCAAACAAAGATTTACGAGCTTGTAGAGCTCTAACAAAGAATGACGAGCTAACAGCATCCAATGAAGAACGACGAGCTAACAGCATCCAATGAAGAACGACGAGCTGAGAAAGCTCAGATAAAGAGTTACGAGCTGAGACCTTACATGAGTGGACTCCTACACAGAATTACAAGCTAAGACCCTACATGGGTAGACTCTCACAGAATAATGAGCTAAAGTCCTAAATGGGTTAGCTCCAAATAATCCTGAATACTCTGACTTGAATGGTCCAACAAAAAATTACAACCTCATAGAATGAGCTAAGACCCTACATGGGTAAACTCCTATGAAGAATTATGAATTAAGACACAGCATGGGCGAGCTTCAATAGAGAATTCCAATTGAGATGCTGATGAGTGGGCTCTAGAGAAATTATAGTGAAGCTTTAGTGAAATTAAGCAAAGACCATGTGTGGTAAGCTTAGAACTTCAATCTAAAGTGCTTGGACCAGATTTCAAGCAACACCTTTAAAGGTTGTAGGCTCCAATCACAAAGCTCAAAGCTCTTAAAAATGATCAACTCATTTACTCTACAAAAGCTTGTGCCCATCAGCTGTTAGCTTTTCAGCTCATTTGTTCTATGAAAGCTCAGTTCAATTATAGCTCTGCAGAGCACAACCCTTAAAGGGTTTGATTTCTATGTTGTGACCTAAGAGGCCAAGATTTTTATTTAAACATCCCAATGAGGGATCTCAAGGTAGATACCTCCAATTGCCAAGTTGGCATTCAATCTTAGCTCTATAGAGCGTGATCGTCAGAGATTTGGTTTCTACATTATGACCCATGAGATTCCAAGCCATAATACCTGAGCTTCCTGGTTTCAAGTCGTCACTCCTGAGCTTCTTGCTTCCAGGTCGTCATTCTTCAGCTTCTTGGTTTCCAGGTCGTCACGCATCAGTTTCTTGGTTCCAGGTCGTAATACCTCAGCTTCCTGGTTTCCAGTCGTCACTCTTGAACTCCTTGCTCCAGGTCATCGCTCTAGAACTTCCTGGTTTCAAGTCGTCACTCCTAAGCTTCCTGGTTTCAGGTCGTCACTCCTGAACTTCCTGCTTTCAAGTCGTCACTCCAAAACTTCCTGGTTTTAGGTCATCACTCCTGAGCTTCTTGGTTTCAAGTTGTCGCTCTTGAGCTTCCTGCTTCCAGGTCGTCACTCCTGAGCTTCCTGGTTTCAGGTCGTCGCTCCTGAGCTTCCTACTTCCAGGTTGTCACTCTCGAGCTTCCTGCTTTCAGGTCGTCGCTCCTGAACTTCCTGGTTCTAGGTTGTAATACCTCAGCTCCCTACTTCCAGGTCGTCACTCTTGAACTTCATGGTTTCAGGTCATCACTCCTGAGCTTCCTGGTTTCAGGTCGTCGCTCCTAAGCTTCTTGCTTCCAGGTCGTCACTTTTGAGCTTCCTGGTTTTAGGTTGTCACTCATGAGCTTCCTACTTTCAGGTTGTCGCTCCTAAGCTTCTTGCTTCCAGGTCGTAATACCTCAGCTCCCTACTTCCAGGTCGTCACTCCTGAGCTTCCTAGTTTCAGGTCGTCACTCTTGAGCTTCCTGGTTTCAGGTCATCACTCCTGAGCTTCCTGCTTTCAGGTCGTCACTCCTGAGCTTCCTACTTCCAGGTCGTCGCTCTCGGCTTACAAGTTGGAAATCTCAAATCAAGGTTTCCAAGCTAGATTCCTCAAGAATAAATCAAACCCCTCTACAACCTATAAAAGCAAGAAGCTGAACCCTTGTGATTTTTCAGCAAGCTTACAAAATCACTAGAGGGGGAGTAATGTTGGAATAGTAATCTAACTAGCCCATAAACAAAATAAAGGCCCATAAGGCCCAAATACAAAGGAGCACGCCCATGAGTCACAATGGAGCTCATATACACTCAAATGGATCCAAAGGGACCAATAGAAGTGCAACACGTGTAAAGCACTTCCAAAAGACCTATAAATACTCCTGCACCCCTCAAACGTGAGGACTTTTCCAAGAGCTCTTCTCTCTATATTATATTTCTCTCTCTAAAGAGAGCCCCAAGTATAGAATATTGCTAACTTGGGCGTCGGAGTGTCTACCCCGAGGGACAACCCTCGGGTCTGTTTTGCAGGTCCCTATGCTGGTCAACTTGTGGTCAACTAGATCTTGTGAAGCTGCCCAAACAGTTCCATTGACCTCAGGCCTGGGGTTCCATCCAACCCCAACGCCTGGGTTCCAACAAATCCAGGCGCGGGTTTGATGGAACCCTGCATGAGTTTCAGGAACCCAAGTGTTTATTTAAGCCCAGTCCCAAAAGAAAATTTGTTATTATACTTTTTATATGATTACAGTCTTGTGTTTCAGTCTATGCAAAAGTTATAGTGTCTTAATAAAAGTGCTAAACATAATAAAATGAAGCCCCTTTAAGCCAAAAAGAAAAATAAAATAAAATGATACTTTCAGATCTTGTGAGGACAGCTTTGAAAGACTAACCAAAAGTTAGGTCAGAGATTTAGGGCCTGTTTGGTGCAGATTGTGAGAAGAGCTTTTTAGCTTTAAAAGCACAAGCTGCACCAAACGGATCAGCTTCCGAACTTGGCTGCAGCTTTTGAGAAGCTCAGCTTCTCACTTTTCCTTTGCAAAGGCCGGAAGCTGTCATTTTTTACTTCCGTGGCAGCTTCCGGCTTTTGAATTAATGAAATTGACATGATATCCCCATTTTATCCTCACACTTCCTTTTATTTACAAAAAAACCACTATATAATGTTTCAAAACACCACATTTCTACCCCATTCTTCACCATTCTTTACTGTCTTCTTCCTCATCCAATTCAATCAGAGAAACAAACAAAAATTCTTCCTCAAACAGAAAATTCTTCCTCATCCAATCAGAGAAACAAACAGAAAATCCTTACCGAAAATCCCTCATCTACGAACCCAAGAGCTGAATTCGCGGCGAACCCCGCGCTTGGGTTCCGAGATGAACCCAGCGTCTGGGTTCGTCGACGAACCCAAGAGCTGGGTTCACGACAAACCCCTGGGTTCGTCGACGAACCCCA